CAGCTTTCCCATACTGTCTTAGTCTGTTTGTGCCACTATAACAAAATACCACAGACTAGGCAATTCATAGATAATACAAATTTATTTCCCACAGCTCTGGAGGCTGGGAAGTCCAAGATCAAGGCACCGGACGTGTTGGTGTCTGAGGAGGTGCTGGTCTCTGAACAACACAGAGGTTGCAATCATTGGCTACAGATTGTAACATACAGGCTAAAATATCTTCATGCAAGATAATCATCAGCACAACTCCATGATTCAGAAACAAACAGTATCTTTTTCAGTGTCAGTAGTCTATGCATTAATTGGTGTATTATTAATTATTATTAACAATCCACAATAAGATTCTTTGCTCAGGGGCAGGATGTTGCAGGAATCACAAGACACCCCCCAGGGAGGGTTAATTTGGAAGCCTGCCAAATGTAACCTGCAGATCGTCAGAAAAATTCCCTTTGCAAACAAAACATTTAGGATTTAGATAAATATATTTCCCCTTCAATGGTTTCATTGGATGATTTGAAGTTGAGAATATTGGCAGTAAGGGTTGAGAAACTCTTATTTATTAACCTGGATGAGAAATTGCTCCTTTAGCCCTTATGAATGCCTTTGTATATACACACCTATCCAAGCTAGACCTATAGATTGTCCAAGACAATCATGGTGTTTAGTGTAATGTCTGATCTACGAGGACAACATAGCCAATCAGGATAATTTGACAATATTTTTAAATGCTGAGAAAAATTCACAAAGTAGATTCATTAGAGAAAATGCATTATGGGAAAATTTTTGAGACGTGATTTCAATCAGATCCGTGTGGGGGTAGTGACCTGCAGATTAATGTGTGATAGACATTAGGAAATCACTAAAATGTTTTAGTGACTGCTTTGAAACCCAGGGACTCTATACCCAGTCAACAATTGAAGCTTACAAAAAGATCTATTTAATTCCTGATTTTCTGTACCAATGGGGGGGGGACATGACTCATGTACAGCAGCTAAGAACCTGAGGATCCATTACTCAGTCTGCTTATCATGCTACTTCCTTTTTCTGTAGGCTTTTGGGCATGAAATGGAAGGGTAAATTGCTGATCTGCTGCAATTTCCAAAACCAACATCCTGAAGAGTCCCAAGGTTATCCCGGGGATATTCAAAAGGCCATTTAGCTATGGCCCTGGCTCTCAGACCATTTCATGGATGGTAGTGGAAATTGACAAGGAGATTGGTTAAAAAAAAAAAAAAAGAAAAGAAAAAGCCTATGGTATTCTCCACAGAACTTCTGAGTTAAATCACTCCCTGCACCCTTCCACTCTTCATCTCACATATACGCTGAAAAGTGAGTCACGAATCAGGCAATGTTTCTGGCATTGTTTGGTGTGACTGAGTCTTATTTAGCAGGGTGCTGTGTGAATCTCCTTGCAACCAAGTGTCAGGAACCACTGGACAAGGCTGGGATGTCACTCATGTGGGGCAGTGCGGGATACCTGGGAGACCCTTTGTGACTCAGTATCGAACAGCAAATGAGGCACTGAGACCTTTAATGGCCTTGACGTGCTGGAGATAAACTGCCCCACTGTTTCATCACAAGGCCCCTCATGATATATTACCCTGCAAAGTGGTTTTGTAAGACAAACCTTTTGGTCTTGCTGAAAGATGGACTCAGCCTATTTCCTCTAATGACTAAGTGAAGTAAGTGGCTATGTACTTTGTTGTATGAATTGAAACAGTCGGTAGGAAGGGTTAAACGCCAAGATTTGGAGCAAACAAGGCCTGGATTGGAATCTTGATTCTGGGACTTGATAACTGATCTCCCTATAGGATTGCTCAGACTATTAAATGAGATCATGTCTGTGAAGTGGTTAGCATATTGTATTTAATTGATAGCTAAAAACAAAACAAAACAAAAAATCTAATTGAATACTGGATGGTACCCATTGGTAAAGAGCAGCTTGTAACAATACATTGTAACTGCACAAAGGTTTATAGCTTCGTAGAGGTTACTCTGTAAAGATGGTAAGCTTTTGTTAAATTTAATTTACACAATAATTTAGACATTTACTGTAGAACTTGGCTTTCGTAGATGAGTATTTTCTATGTCTGAAGTTAAACATATAGAATGTATGTCCTAGAATATACAACAGGTATATTTTTCTGGTTGCTCTTCGAAACTAAGAATTTCTTTAGTTTTATTTTTAACACATGGTTTAACAAGGTTTTTTTTTTTGGACATATTTATTCTTGTGTGGACATGAAGCTATTGGATTAGGCAGTGTTTCTGGCGTTGGTAGCAGTTTCTTAGAAATTGAGATAGATCTTTTTATTTAGTCTTCGGACCAAAGGTGATGACTTTACAGGTAACTGATGTAATAGGAAGGGTTGAGGTTGCACATAAGGGTGGTAAGCTACCCGGTGACTGGGAGTAAATGTCCACTGCTCACTCAATCGCTGTGAACTTAAACCAACTGAGCAAAATAGTAAACAACCTGCAAATATTTACTGAATTCTGGGCACTGAGATACCAAAGACGATATAAATCAGGTCCTTGGCTCTAATCGGAGCACAAAGCCACAGAAAGCGATTAGAAGCATCATAGTGCTCTGTTTACATGTCATAGAGATGCTGGTCATAGGAATTTTCTCCACTTCCTTCTGATCACTACATGCTCTTAAGTATTAGGCCTTTTGGTGGCACACTTACATTAAAATACTCAAAATTACACTAAAACAAGATAGCAGTAATCGCAAAGCAGACTCCGCTACTGGGTAACAGTGTGTGATGTCTACAAAGGCCCCTGTAGGTGGCCTTCTGACGGGGCTCTCTTTTACCCCAGTTGTTGTTATTTGAGCCGAATTGTGGGCTGTCATGACCATACTCTCTTATACCCTCACTAGGCAAAGATCTCTCATACTCCAGGAATCAGGGGAACTTTCTTTAGTGCCAGCTTGAATTTATACCCCGACATGCTACAATTTGAGCCCTTCTTTGCCCTGTAAGATCACCCTGTGTACTCAGCTCAACATTCTGACAGATGTTCCTGAGACAGTATGTGTGATCTGTTGTAGACCCAATAAATTTCGCTTTTTGGGCAAAATTTGTTGGCATACCCAGGTGGCTACACACCACTGTTGAGGACTTCATCTCTAACTGGAGTAGTCAAAAGCAGGACAATGGGTGGGAACTGGAATTGTCAGAGATACCATCTTTAAAAAGATGGCCCTTCAAGGATGGGTAAGACTTAAATGTGTAGATACAGAATTGGTGGCTATTCCAGGTGAGGAGAATAATAGTGTGTTTCATTCTGTAGCATAAAGGGTTTTCGTTTCCAGTTATCCAAGTGTCTTTTCAACAGCACTTTTTTTTTTTACTTCACTTCCTGAAGTGGGGTACAACCTTCACAAAAATTTGTCTTCTAACCTTACTTCTTGGAGTACAATCTCCTGAAATTGATCCAGATTTATCCTATTTATCCAAAGTAGGTGGCACACGTTTCCGATTTTATCTCAGCAAAGGTATTATCACAGTGCCCTCCTTCTACCAGGTCTCCCGTGTGCTATAGGGCCAACACCCACATTTACCTTTCCAATTTTGACTTCTGCCTTTCCTTTTTATCCAGCAATCCTCGTCACAACAGAGAACCCCTGACACTCCTCAGCCTAACCTAACCTTACCTAAACCCTTCCCAGCACTGGCACCGTTAAGTCACCCCGTCCCTCCTTTAAGCCCTCCCTCCCTTTGCTTTGACACTGTATTTCTGGTTCTCCCCTCCTGATCATTCCTTCTCGGGCTCCTTTTTTCCTCTGTCCCTTCAAAGCATCCCCCAGGGCTCCTGACTTTGACCCTCAGATTTCTCTCTACTCATTTAAAGCTGGAGAAACTGCGGGGAGATTCTCAGAACTGCAAAACACCTTATGTGAAGCAAGCAAGCTCCTCATGGCCCCTCACTGGCACTGAGACATTACTCTGCCTCGGCTGAATACAATCAACCCACGGGGACAAATGCTGGGGAGAACTCCAGCGGGGACACCTCCAGCTACCTGGTCTGCTGAGGAGGCAGGCACCCGACCAGGGCTGGAGAACTTCGGAGCCTTCACTGAAACTTTGCAGTGTTTTGGTTTTGTTCTGATCAGGAAGGAGCACGTGCCTCCAAAAGACAAGCACCCCCACCCCCTTCTCCCATAGCTTGTTTTCTGAGACACCCTCTTTACTTTATCCGAACCCGCTTTATTTATTTATTTTCTCTTTTGAGACAGAGTCTCGCTTTGTCGCCCAGGCTAGAGTGAGTGCCGTGGCGTCAGCCTGGCTCACAGCAACCTCAAACTCCTGGGCTCAAGCGATCCTCCTGCCTCAGCCTCCCGAGTAGCTGGGACTATAGGCATGGGCCACCACGCCCGGCTAATTTTTTCTATGCATATTAGCTGGTCAATTAATTTCTTTCTATTTATAGTAGAGAAGGGGTCTCGCTCTTGCTCAGGCTGGTCTCGAACTCCTGACCTCGAGCAATCCGCCCGCCTCGGCCTCCCAGAGTGCTGGGATGACAGGCGTGAGCCACCGCGCCCGGCCGGAACCCGCTTTAGATTGGAAGCTCCCAGTGGGCTGGACCACAGGCAGCCCGGCCGCTGAGCCGCCCTGGTCCCCCGGCGGCCGGCGCTGGCGGCGTCGGGCCCACCTGGTGCCCACCTGGTGGGCGCCCTGGCAGGCAAAGACGATGGCGCAGCCCCCTCGACAGGGACGGCAGGAAACGGGCCACGAGCCGGTCCTGCTGAGAGGTGCTGCACTCGGGACACCTCCACTTTAAGGAACAGACACGCGCCGCGGGCATGGGCAGGACACAGGTGTTCGTCCCTTCCGGGTTCCACCCGCGTCCTCCGAGAACCGGAACACCCTCTGCGTCTTCCGGCCGCGGGGCGGGGCTGCCTGGGACCGCGCAGTCGCAGCGTGGCGTCTCTCAGGCCCCGCCCCCGGCGTCACACGGAACCCCGCCCCTTTCGGGCGAGAGCGCGCGAGGCTCTGTCACGCAGGCGCGTTCGCGCGGCGTAGGTGGCGCCAGAGGCCGCCGGGAGGGGGGGTTGTATGCCGACAGCGCTGCCGCCATTTTGTAGGGTGTTTGTCGCAGCTGCTGGAGAGGGGAGACGGCGTTTTGGCGACATTTCTCCGCCAAAGGGCCACTTGCTTTCGCGGAGGTGAGGTTCCGAGCGGGGCGTGCGGGGCTGGCGGCTGTCCGGTCTTCCAGGTCTCGGGGAGCCAAGCGTCGGAGCGGCGGCCGGGCTCGGGCCTCGGGGACTGGGCACTGAGGAGGGAGTTCCGCGGGGCGCCGCTCGGCCGGCGGGCTGTCCCTCGCCTGGAGTTCCTCGGCGTCGCGGGTCCGCGGCTGGCCCTGCCCGGGGGCCCCGGCCGCGCGCCTCGGGGCTGCGGGGGCCCTGGGCTCTCCCCTGGGCCTGGGCGGACGCGGTCCTCGGCGAGCCCCGTCGGGGCCTGGTCTCGGCGGCGAGGGTGAGGACCTGGCGGGGGACCGTCCACACCGCCCGCTACGACCGTGCCGTCGGGCTCCGGGTGTTGCCCGGGTGTCTGGCCGGGCGCCCGGGGCGGGCGGGGAGCCGGGCGGCGGGGGCCGCGGCCGCGGTGCGGGGCGTGAGCGCGCGGGGGCTCGGCCCTGCGCGGCTTTTCGAGGTGGGGCGCCGCGCTTTGTGGCGGCGGGTCTGCGTCTCCGATGGTTTTGCGTTGGACGGCCCCGCGTGCGGATCCGACCCTTGGGGGACCGCCCGGGACCGAGTTCAGAGTAGCTGTTTCTGTGTCTCCGCGCTCCACGCGCGCGCCTGCAGCCTTTCCACCCGTGAAATGCAGTCACGGAGCCGTTTAATGCTGTTTTCATGTTTATAAGCCATGTGCACAGTGCGAAGTTGTTAGAAACTACAGGGTCCTAAAAAGGGCACCGGAGAATCAGGTTTCTGATACGGGTGTGTGTGTGTATATATGTGTAATATATTATATATAATATAGAATCAGGTTTCTGATACGGGTGTGTGTGTATATATATGTAATATATTATATATAATATAGAATCAGGTTTCTGATACGGGTGTGTGTGTATATATATATGTAATATATTATATATAATATAGAATCAGGTTTCTGATACGGGTGTGTGTGTATATATATATGTAATATATTATATATAATATAGAATCAGGTTTCTGATACGGGTGTGTGTATATATAATATATTATATATAACATACATTATATATATTTACCTATTTATAATATATATACCATATGTATATTTACCTATATATAATATATACCATATGTATATTTACCTATATATAATATATGCCATATGTATATTTACCTATATATAATATATACCATATATATTTATCTATATATAATATATACCATATATTTACCTATATATAATATATACCATATGTATATTTACCTATATATAATATATACCATATGTATATTTACCTATATATAATATATACCATATGTATATTTACCTATATATAATATATACCATATATATTTACCTATATATAATACATACCATATATATTTACCTATATATAATATATACCATATGTATATTTACCTATATATAATATATACCATATATATTCACCTATATATAATATACCATATATATTTACCTATATATAATATATATACCATATATATTTACCTATATATAATATATATACCATATATATTTACCTATATATATATTTATCCATATGTATATATATATAGATCCATTTCGTCCGATTTTTTTGAAATCTACCCGGTGATTCTAATACATAGGATTCTTTGTTAATTAGAGGTAGTGTAATAACTTTAGGTAGTTTTTCTTTTTTTTTTTTTTTTTATTTTATTTTTTTCCAACAAAGCCTCCAGATAAGTTTTTCTTTTTTGTGTGTGCAAAGAAACCTTTGCACACAGAACTTTGTCCAGTAATCTTAATCTTTTGCCTGTAGGTGAAATATTTCTGAACATTGAGGGAAGGTGGAGGATAAAGGGACTGGGACAGACAAGCCGTGAGTTAAATGTTAAAGTAGTGAACTTGACTAGAGGAATAAATATTTGGGCCTCTCACAAGTTCATTCTTATTTTGATGTTTGTATGTGAATAAATAACTAAGGTGATTTGAGAATTCTGCCTTGCTAGAGGTGAGCTGTTTTTGTCAGACTGACAGCAGTAGGGGAAAAACAAAACTAGAAGTAGGTGCTTATGTCTTGCAAAACCTGCATAATAATGGATGATCATAATAACAGCCCTCACTCATCGGATGTTATAATTTTGATTGCTGCTATTTAAGAATGCTTAACCAAGCTGAGTTCCTGATGTGGTTGAAATACAACTTTGCCATTTCAAGGGACAGGTCAGAAAAATTGCATTCGAAATATAAATTGTTCTTGATAGCTCTTCTGAAGATTTTTTTTTTTTTTTTTTTGGCTTTTGCCTCAGGTAAATTTGTAGTGTCATTTATTTAATTTTCCCACATAGAAGTGACTCTTTCTTTCTTTATTGGAGACAGTGTCTCTGTTGCAGGGGCTAGCATGTAGTGATGTCATCATAGCTCACTGCAACCTCAAACCCTGGGCTCAAGCCTCTGGGGTAGCTGGGACTACAGGCGTGAACGAGCCACTGTCTGGGCATTCCACCAAAACCCGCCTGTTTCGCTTATCCCACTCCTAAATTGAGCAGCTACTAATACTCACCGCTGATGAGGTGATTTGGGGTCATACTTCTGATTGGCTGACTACCATGTAAATGAAGTAACTTTTGGGACATACTTCTGATTAGCTGACTACTATGTAAATGAGGTGACTTTTATGAAAAGTTGCCATTGGCTAACTGTAACCCCCAAAAAGGTATAAAACTAAAAGAAAATGAAAAAGGGGCGCTCAGAGTTTGGTGGCAGATAAGCCTCTCTGAGCTCACCGTGGAAATAAAGCTGATTCTCCAACTCTCCGTGTGCCACTCGAGTTTTTCTTCGGCCAAGAGCTGTTCACACCTGGAACACCGTGGCTATTTTTTTTTTTTTTTTTGTATTTTATGTAGAGAATGAGAGTATCACTGTGTTGCTCAGGTTGGTCTTAAACTTCTGGCCTCAAGTGATCCTCTCGCCTCGGCTTCCAGATGTTCTGGGATTACAAGCATGAGCCACCACGCCCGGCCAAGTTTTAGGATTTTTGATTGACCTGACCAATGCCTCCTCTTCCTTTTTTAAGTAAGCTAAAAGAGAAGCCATATTATCACAGGGATGCTTGGTGGACATAGAATTAGAATCAGCCAGAAAAATGAGTTAAAAGTTCTGAGTATTTGGTGGCATCAGACTCTGATGGCATGATACATGCTTAGGGAATACCTCTCAGGAGAATTGAAGCTGCTTCATCTCATAGTCTTTAATCCATTTAAAATAGTTTACGTTTAGGCTTGGATTTGTTTGCTTATTATTCAGTCATTTGAGCAACCTCAGTGAAGTTAACTAGATTGGCTTTGCTCCCTTCTAGCCTTTTCAGCTCCTTGTGAAATTCTTCTTACCACTTAAACTTACCCTATTTAGCCGAGTCTGGATCTCACTTTTAAAAACTTAACTGCTTTCAAAAAGAATTAGGATGAGGAAAGGCAGATAGGGGTTAAATTGTTTGAGCACAGGTGCTGAGCCTGGAGAGAAGCCAGGCTGTACATTGGACGTTGTCGATGGAGTTGGAATTGTCACCATTATCTGATTTCACTGTGACCGTGCTTCTGTGTGCACCCTTGTAGGTTGGTTTATTTTTCAGAGATACTCCAGATCTACAACAAAAAGGTTTTAATTTTAAGAATAACTGCAGTATGATCAGAACGTAAATTTGTTGGATAGAGAAAATGAGTTCATAAAATCACCTTTTTATTGCCCTTCAGTTTCTCTGTTGAATACTGTGTTCTGTCCACCTCTTCTGTTATTTTCAAAGCTTGCAGTCATTCTGAGATTTAGAGAAAGGAACTCTAGAAAGTTTGAGAAAAAGAAGCTTAATTAATGAGTGGTTCTTTATCATTAGAACAAAGTCACTTCCCATATTTTAGTATCTCTGTTTTTTTCACTTCAGTTTTTTCTATTACAGTACTTTGCCAAAGCCACATGACACTTGTGATGCTATTTATCTTTAAATCAGCTCACATTCTAACATTAAAACATTTTTAAAAGAAACCATGTCAATAGCTTAACTAGAAGTTCACTAGTAAATAGAAGGTAAAAATAAATTTAAAAGTTATTAAAGGGCAGTTAACAAGTGTTAGTTGAAGACAAGCACCAAACTGAAAATTAGTCCTGGTTATAATCAGAAGAATTAAAAGAAAATGTTTATTAAGGTCTCACATGCTGTCTGTCATTTAGTACTAGATCTCTGTGCCACTCACCAGTCACCTGACATGCCACTCAGATGTGGTATAGGGGCCCGTGCCTTGGGAAACATTACCCAAAAAGACTTCAGAACCTGTGTGATCCCATGTGCTGGGTGTTTATATTCAAATAATATTAATGCATAACGTTTTTACCAAACGTAACCATCCATATTTTTTGCAACTCCCTTTTCGTTTCTGTTAACAGATGCGGCATTCCAAACGAACTCACTGCCCTGATTGGGATAGCAGAGAAAGCTGGGGACATGAAAGCTACAGTGGAAGTCACAAACGAAAGAGGAGATCTCACAGTAGTACACAAGAGAACAGGCATTGTAAACTACACCACCAATTTAAAGAATCTGATTGGTAAATTATTCTTGAACTAGTAGCATTTTAACACTAATAGTTTTAATGATTTGTCATTTGCTTATATGGCTTTCATCTGTCAAATTGTTTATAATTCAGTTAAATATTCATTCAGAAGATATTTATTGAGTGCCTATTTTAGGATAGACTCTGTAGGTACTGAGGCTACAGCTGTGAATAAAACAGAGTTCCTATCCTCATCTCTCTATGTCTGTCTGGGAGTGGTGGGAGACAGTTAATCAGTAACTGTGAATGTAAAATAAATAACATTGAGTCCTGGCCAGTAAGGTTGCCAATAATGGTTGGGGAGATGAGACACACAAAAAGTTAAGTAATAGTGATAATAGAATGCCCAGTGAACGCCTTTAACTTGCATGTAGGGAGAAAAGTATGTTGGAGTGCTCATTGTTTCAGAAATGAGAGGATTTGGGGGTGGGGGAAAGTTATTCCAGATGAGAAAAGCAACATGTGTTATTTGGGAATATTAAAGAGCATTAGGAATTAGTGACTGTGTTTTGCAAGTTTTATTTGTAGATAAGGCCAGAATATATGTTTGTTTGGGATTTTAGAAGCTTGTTTTATTCTAAGATCTATTCCTTTGCGCAGGCAGTAGCTAATCATTTAGGAAAGGGCCTCAATAAAAATTTGCAACAGTGTGTGTCCTGTTTTATTATATTCTTACCAGAGTAAAATTTGGAGATTATACATTTATATAGATTTAATTCCTTTAATGGAATCTTAAAGGTTCTAAATGATTAAAGAAAGACTAGGTGGGTAGAGTTTCTTTCACTCTGTTTTCCATTAACTTCCCTTTCTCATTTGTTTTGTTGGTTCTATGTTTTCTCCTTGTTTTGTGCAGATGTTCCATTGGGACTGTTTACCAGATTGCTTTCTAAATTAGCCAGCTGGGGTTACTTTAAAAAACAGTATGTAATTTTTTTCCTTCTCCATGCTAAACAGACATGTTCTGCCAGATAGTGAGCTTGTTTGTAGTCAGTGTAGACTAACATGCTTCATCACACATTATTATTTAAGGGGAGAGAGGGGAAGGTTTATGGCAGGATTTCAATGACCAAAGCTAATTAATGTACAGAATACTATAGAAAACTATCTGTACCCCACTATTCATAAATACAAACAACTCTCAAGGCTTAACCACCAGGCCAGTACCTTCTTTGACAGATATGTGATAATTGCTTACCAAATCTAGAATATTCTAAGAGTCTTTTTGAAGATTAAAAACTTTATGGGGGTGTTTTTTTATAAAATTATAGAAAAATGCAGAGAAGTATAAAGAAGATAATCTTAGTAGGATGCTAGTCCCCGTTATTTTGGATGTAAAATTATTTCTAATGATTCTTAAAAATATCTTTGTATCCAAATCTTTGCCTCTTATTTATTTCCTAAAAACAGATGCCAAGAAGAGGCATTTTCAAGTTAAATGGTATGAACTCCTACAAAGTTCTTGCTACATATTCACATTTCATTTTCTAGAAAGTTTGTACCAAACTGTATTTCTGCAACATGCTACTTCATGCTATCACCAGTCTTGACTTTTTATTTTTATTTGAATTTTTAAATTTCTTGTGAATTTGTCCACTATTACATATTTGTAGATCACTTGAACTTTTTTTATTCTTAGCCTATTTATTAGATTATATTTTTCTTACTGATTTAAAAGAAGTTTTTATTACATATTCATTATTTAAATAGTCATATATTACAGTGTGTCTTTTCTTACTTGTCTTTTGGCTGTAGCCTGTGAATTGGTCTCCCTACAGGGTTAATTAATCCATTCTGCATAATATGTTAAAAAGACTGAGGTGGCTGTAAATGCCATATTTTATATATTGTGGTCAGAGTCCTATAACATGAAGTATTAAGTCTTCTACTAGTGATTCTCAAACTTGAGTGTGAATAAGAATCACCTTGGAGGTATGTTTAAAATGCAGATTTACCAGATTTAGGTTCATTGAATATTACCTGAGGCCTGGAGATGTCATTTTTAATAAGAATTCCATATTCAGTATCATTAATAAATAGACCATCCTTTGAGAAATATTCCTTAGCCTGGCATGCAGGGCTTTTAATGATCTATTTTCAGCTTATTTATTTGTCCACATTCCCCTTTGTGAAGATTGCTCTTGCTGGAATTGTTTACTTTTTCCAGAGTACTACATAGACAAATCCATCTTTACGCCATTGTGTCTAAAAGTGCTGTATGAACGTAAGATGGGAATATGCTATTCTCCTCCTGGAATTTCTTCTACATTTCACTTTGTCCAAATCCTGGCTTCCCTTTACGATGCAACTTTGTTTCCATCTTTTTCATGAATTCTTCCCTGACCATTTTAAGTAGATTTTCTTTTCATTCTCTTTAAGCACTCATATGTAACCTTTCTGTATTTCCTGCATTGTTGGGTTTTGTTTCATTTTTATGTGCGTAAACTCAAACTGTTCATTATTGGTTGGCAGGGACTTTGCCTTATATAATTTTTTTTATCTCCCACAGGACCTGTGTGGAAATAAAAACGAATGCCTATACCCTCGTCAATCTTGGCTATTTTGAAAGGCTACAGTGAAATATTCACTGGGCATTCAGTGAATATTTTTAAAAATTAAATCAATCTGTTGTCCTGTCTACCCTCTCCACAGCCTGTGAAATTCTGTAGACTTTGTTTATATAATCCCTCAGCCTTGGTCACTGGCCATTATAGATCAAAGAGACACTCATCCTTTTAGTTTATCCTCATGGTATTGTTTTACTGCATGTTTTGTTATGCTAGTAATTTGGATTACTAGCAGTTCTACCTTCATGTATTATTCCTGCTAAAGATTGTTAGTGTTAGTTTTTTCTAATAGATTTTGGACTTTTGTGGGAAGGATGCCTTACAGAATAAAACAGGATGCCCTTAAGAGTATGCTCATTTCTAGCTGCTTATATTGTAGATCTCTTTCTGACAGTTCCAAGCCAACTGATCAGATCCCTGACCTATACCCACAGTGTTACCCTGATGTCCTGAGTTCTCCAATGGATAGAACTTAAGACTGACACTAGGCAGAGAGAAGAGAGTTCCTGCAACTCCCCAGCCTGCATTTGATGGTAGCCCTGTTGGGTAGGATTTATAAAGATGCTTCTGTTTTGGCCTAAACCAGCTGCCCGGGGGAAAAAAACGACAGCATACTCTGGGAAAGAAAGGGGTTGGTGAGGGCAGTTAGTCAACATCTGTCACTCCATTGCTTGTTAGGATTACTTTAGCCGATTTGTCTGACTGGGCAGGTGTCCCCTCTCTCCCTCAGTGCTCCATGTGCATCCCTCTTGAAGCTTCGCACTCTGTTGAAGAGGACACTCATCCCAGGTAGAGAGGGGATGGGAAGCTGGGCCAATTAAATCTATGTCCTTCCCTTTCCATCCCATCAATGCTGCTTAACTTCCTAAGATCCATGACTTCTATGAAATTCCTTGCCAAGTTTTGTGTATGCGTTTGTGTGCTACTTGGGGAAGAGGGTCATAGCTTTCATCGGATTCTCAAAGGGATCTACAGATGCAAGCACTATGGCACTTGATGTTTTCTGTTGTATTTCTTATGTATTTCTCAAGCAGGAATGACAGGAAATTAGAAATGCAAAGGGAAGTAGAATAGCGGGACTATTGTAATCTTAGGCAAGCAATTACAGGATCCCTTTTTTATTTTAGATGTCTTCAGCGCATGAGGCAATCCTCAAAAGCTACGTTGTCTATTTCTCAAACAGGAATAACAGAAGGCTAGAAATGTAAAGAGGAGAGGAAGACAGGACAGGTGATAGGTGTAATAAAAATGGCCTGTATAATAGCGGTTAGAAAATATTTCAGTTTTTGACACTAATGTGCTCTATAACCATAGCAAATCATTTTCCTTCTAAGGATCTTAATTTAGTTGTTGGTAAAGTAAAAGGGCTGGAAAAATTTTAGATTCCTTATAGCTAAAATACACCTTTCATGAAAGAATTCTCTATGTCCAGGAGTTTCTAAAATACACTTATATTAAAAGAGAAAGGAATCCTGTTTTGCCTGCCTCTGATTGTGTGTGCTTCTGTGAGAGGAAAAAAAACTTAGATGCATATATCATAAGACTGATGAGTTCAGAACAGCAGTTTCATGAAGTTTTGGTTTTAACTTTCTCCAAGAAGGTAAAGGAACACTTAAGTAACAATAAATTAATGATTTGACCCAAACTTTGTTCCTTGGTGTGAAGTGCTTGACAACAATCTGTATAATGGGCCCATTTACTTGATTGTTAAAGTAAAATTATTTGTTAAACTTTGAGATAAATATGAATTCTAATTCATCAATTTGAATTTTTTTTCTTTTATTGAGTTAGCTCTTTAAACCAAGAGTTCTTGAAGAGAATGTTTTGTTTAAACCACATTACTCCAGAATGAAGAGAATAATTTGAAATCCTTTAATGTGTTCACAGTCATTATTTAGAAGCAAGGTCCTTGAATGAGAGAGATTATCGGGACCGGAGATACGTTGATGAATACAGGAATGACTACTGTGAAGGATATGTTCCTAGACATTATCACAGAGACATTGAAAGCAGTTATCGAATCCACTGCAGTAAATCTTCAGTCCGAAGCAGGAGAAGCAGTCCTAAAAGGAAGCCTAATAGACATTTTGGTTCAAGTCATCATTCACATTCGGTATGATTGATTTTGTTTTTATTTTGAGTGGATTCTTATTTGTGCATAAAAGCTCTTAATGAGCTGATAAGTTTCAAATGTTTTTTATACATATATAATGCTATTTGGATGTATTATAATTGTATTTATATTACTTAAATCCTTAAAGGAAACTTCCAAATTCTCATAGTTGATCTGTATATTTATTAGCTAGCCTTCACTTGCCCACATTGACTTATATTCTGAGACCAGATCATGAGTTCTTTGATTTTAGTAATAAAATTATCTTATTTTTTGTGTTTGTAATATATTCTTACGAAAAAATGATGCACCCATCTTTTCTTTCATATTAAACATTTTTTTTTACTTTGAAAGAAACCCCTTCCCTGATACTTGGAAGCAATATGGAAAATTGCACTAGTGGATACTTAAGTGTTATTAGCTAATATTAGCTAGTTCTGTAGCACAGTGCATCATTGTCTGCAACCAGTTCTGTTGAAATTGTGAAAATGGGTGCTGAATGGGAAATGTATTATCCAAAAAGCTTGCCCTTTTTTTACATTCAGACATCTTCTCCTATTTAATCAGTAAACTTTGAATTACTGTTTTTCTCCCCAAGTTTTTTTCAGTAGAAGTAGCTTGTATTAGCTTGAACATTGAAATTAGCCTTTATTTTCCCCTTTTATTTTAATCATGAATATTTTTATGTATTGCTAAGAACAATTTCAACTAATCTTGACATTTTAAAACATTTTTCTGACAAACTAGACATCTCAACTCACAGCATATGCTGTTTATAGCAAGAGATTAGTAAATCATGACATTGCATTCTTTAAATTTCAGACTTCAATTAAATCAGTATTTTAAAGAGACAATTGTGTTGTTTTTTTTCTATTGCCACTTTAAGTATCTTATCTGAAAATCTGTTCCTTGCCATGTTTTTCTTCTGTAACATAAACTGTGCCCTGTGAATTTCTGGGGACTGAATTTGAAATTGCTCCTGCCAACTGTTCGTGGCCTGGTGCTTATCTGAATGCCTGAATATCTCCCCGCTGAATGAATTGCGTATTCTGCCCTGAATTCACTCTGATATATTGATTGGCTGGACGATCTTGGTGCTGCCCACTTGCCGTTCCAGAAGAGCCACCGAAGGAAAAGATCCAGGAGTATAGAGGATGATGAGGAGGGTCACCTGATCTGTCAAAGTGGAGACGTTCTAAGAGCAAGATGTATAGAATATTTTTCAACACTTTTTAAACTTTGCACACAGAATAATCTTTTTAAGAATAGTTTGTCAGCGGGGGGCTAAAGAACTCTTCATTACTTTTTTGTTTTGTTTTTTGTGGGTTTGTTTATTCTTTTGTATTTCTTCTTTTCTGTAGAATTTAAATACTTCTATTCTAAAGTTCCAAAATAATCAATGGAATTTGAGATTAGAGCAAGAAAGATAGCTCTATCTAATTGTTTTTGTAGCAGCTGAAAATAAAATAATTTGAGTGCTGAAACCTTAGTTATGCTTTGATAGAGATCATTTGAAAATATTCCACACTTAAGCATTCATTGTTTGAATAACTAGATAATTTGTACTTGGGTACTTACACCTCTTTGCACCCCCCCTCACTTTAGATGAAATTGTGGACACTTTGGGTGAAGGAGCCTTTGGCAAAGTTGTAGAGTGCATTGATCATGGCATGTAAGTTCTTTTTTTTTGAACATTCTGATATTTTTGGTGGGGAAGGATTGATTGATAATTTAAATGAAATAAGTTTTAAGTGGTAGCCATGTGTTTTTCTGGGAAATATACATATACAACAAAATTTCTTGAACTGTGTATGATTTATTTACCATTAATGTGGATTTTGATCAAGAATACTGATAGATTTTATCAGATGGAGTTCATTGAAATTAAAGTGGATGTTCAAGTGAAGATTCAGCTTTTGGATTGCAGAGGCAATAAAGCGTATCTAATCTCGCATGTTAGAGTTAGCTTCCTAAACTACAAAAAAGTTATATTAAGCCCTACAGAACTAAAGTCCAAATTCTTTAAGGAGGCATAGTAATTGGACCCTCTCTGCCTCATTTTACCATTTTCCTGCAGGACTTCTCTTCTGTGGCTTGTAAACTTTTTTGTAAGTGAACTTCTTAAACAATTTAATGAAACTGCACATTTATCATAAAATAGTTGGGATATATAATTTGCAGCTTACTGTAAACCTTAATTTAAAAAAAAAAAAACTTTCTGTTTAAATGTATTTGAAGGAATCTGTTGTAGCCGCTTGATACCTACCAACCATAAACAAACTCTTCTTGAATACTTAGACATGTTTTATTCTTGAACTTATTTTTGTTCTACTTTCTATAAAGAATATTATCCTAAATTAACTTTTATCGTCACCCCATCTTATTTCTGTGCAACAAAAATGTAAACATAAGTTGAACTTTAAAATATTTTCAGACTCACAGAAAAGTTGATAAAATAGTTCAAAGAATTTCTATATATTCTTTACCCAGATTTTCCAAATGTCTACATTTTATAATATTTACTTTATCGTTTTATATATGTTATATTTCCAAATTTTGCCAGCTAATCTATTATAGACCTTATTCAGATTTCACCAATTGTCCCATTAATGTCCTTTTAAAATTTCCTGAGATTCTAAGTTTCTGAGTATTTATTTAATTGAGGTATTCCAAATAATAGTATTCAGTTGATCAAAGTACCAATATATTATAAATTTTTATACTTATTAGACCTAAAACAGGATTTTATTGGAATGTATCTTTTATTGGAATGATTGGGGCTTCTAAAAAACGAGTATATATATCCATAGATAAATATCTCATTGTTGAGTAACTGTTTTCTGTTTTCATTTTTCACTGAGAAAACTTTTTGGTCATTATAATTATATAGATGAGAGTAGAAGTTTTGTCACAGTAGTTTTATAAAAGTTCTTTGAAGTCTTGACATATATGCCAACCATCATAGGGGGATTATCATCAGAAATTTTTTTTAAATGATTTATCAGCCCATATTTATTGGTACCTCATTGAAAGCAATGAATTGGAAACCACTGGACATGGAAAAGGTTTGTTACCTGGCTATTAGAATACGTTTGCCCCAAAGATTTTTTATAACCTGTGGCATACATCTGATAAGGGATGGCTGAGGTTTTCCTTTCTTTTGTAAAGCAGAAAGGCCACAATGATAAAGGAGGCTTGAATGCTGGCCTATCTCCAGACGGACCCTAGGAAAGAGGACGAGGAAGGCGAAGATTTGCCAATTGATTTCCTCAAATTCATTTATGGCTCTTACTCTGTACTTTTTAGGAAGCCTTCTAAAGCCTACTTCCCTACCCTGTAGCTGTATTTCTGTGTACTTGCATCAGTGACTGTGCTAAGGGTTTTCTTGGCTTCATGACTTTATGGTTGGTGACTCCTTTACCTGGATGTTGCATTTCCCTCCCAGTCTGTCAAACTCATAGCTATCTTTCAGGGCTCAGTTCTGTGTCACCTCTTTTGTGAAGAAAGGGTAGGGAGCCTGCGGCCTCAAGACCACATGTGGCCCTGCAGATCCACAAGTGTGCCCCTTTGACCGAGTCCAAACTTCACAGAACAAATCGTTTGTGTAAAATGTGGATTTAGTCAGGCCCTGTCTTGTCTTCATTACTCTGGCACAGCGTAGGTCTAGCCTGGTGGGTGAATGAATGAGTGCCTTCAGCAGAAGCATATTCTATTCTTGGTTTATATTTTTATATATATATTTTTAGTTTTTGTATAAAATCTAGGTGAATATAAAATTCTGGGAACAAACATTAAAATTCATAAGTATTAAGGGAATCATCTCTTCATATAAAGTATATTTTGTCAAAATGTTTTGAAAAGATGTTATGTGAAATCTATTATAATATGGTTTGAAAGATTTATTGACAGGTTATTTTAGAATAATAGCATAGAGGAATTTGGTAATTAAGATCATGCTTTAGAGGATACATGACTTCAGCCCACTCCTGTACATTTACCGTTTCCATCTTGATTTTATTTTTAAGGGACGGCATGCATGTAGCAGTGAAAATCGTAAAAAATGTAGGCCGCTACCGTGAAGCAGCTCGTTCAGAAATCCAAGTATTAGAGCATTTAAATAGCACTGACCCCAACAGTGTCTTGTAAGTATAATTTGAACTATGAAGCATCATATTACATGAAATACTCAGTATTCGGTGAACTGAATTATTATTTTGATCTATTTTAGCCGATGTGTCCAGATGCTGGAATGGTTTGATCATCATGGTCATGTTTGTATTGTGTTTGAACTGCTGGGACTTAGTACCTATGATTTCATTAAAGAAAACAGCTTTCTGCCATTTCAGATTGACCACATCAGGCAGATGGCGTATCAGATCTGCCAATCAATAAATTGTAAGTATACTTGGCAAATCTTTAAACACTAGAAAATTTAAGTTTTTATTATATAAGCAACATATCAAAACATTGTCACTAAAAATATGCATTTTACAGATAAAGATGAAACCCCTCTTGGCCACTGTATCCACTGATAATCTACCTTTCCCTGCCAAGCAAAATTTGCAATTGAAACCAATAATGTCTTTTCGTTCTCTCGTAGTTTTGCATCATAATAAATTAACCCATACAGATCTGAAGCCTGAAAACATTTTATTTGTGAAGTCTGACTATGTAGTCAAGTATAATTCTAAAATGGTAAGTTAAAGACTTGTTTTAATTTTGGTGGTTGTCTTTAAAATTAATTTAACTTGGTGATCCGTAGATGAGGAATTTCACTGCTGAGCTTCATTGTAGCTTAATATTTAACCAAAAAAGGAGTAATACTTTGCATTTCTCATAGGCTTATGTTTACAACCCAGAAAAATAGTTCATATGCAAGCCTTTTGAATAATGCTATAAAATATTTCATATCCTTACTGAGTTTCATATTTACTCAACTGTATGTCTTTAGAAACGTGACGAACGCACACTGAAAAGCACAGATATCAAAGTTGTTGACTTTGGAAGTGCAACGTATGATGATGAACATCACAGCACTTTGGTATCTACACGGCACTACAGAGCTCCAGAGGTCATTTTGGGTCAGTAGACACTGGATTTTCAGTTGTTGTAATTGAAGCAGAGATTGTTCTTAGAGCTTTTTTTTTTTTTTTTCTTTTTTTTTTTCATCATAACCACAATGAAGATGTTCTTAGAGCTTTTATTGGAGGTGTTGGCAGGTAGCAGCTTCTTAGCAGTGTTCTAAAAACGTTTTCTATTTTCATAAAGTGTGTGGACATTGCTATAAATATTTTTCCTTAGTGGTAAAAATGTGATACCGTCTGTGAAAGATATTCCAGGTGGTGGTTATTTTTGAACAAGTTAGTCTTAAATGATCATGAGAGAATAGGCTCTGTTAGCTAAGTACATCACACCAATGTGATTTTGAAAATCACATGGGTATTTTTACATGGGTACCTATTTTCATGTCATCACAAAAGTATGGTGCTAGTGAGAAGACTGCTTGGTGGTTACTTGGCAACCATCTAGATACAGGGTGGATAAAGGTCAAGAAAAGAGGGGCTTCTCTAAGAGGAGCGTTTGTGATAACTCTTGATGTGAGAAAGGCTGGGAAAGAATGCGCTGAGGTGCAGGGTTTTAAAATAAGGAACTCTAAGGGAATGTGCATCTTACGCCTCAAAATAGAGATCAGGACATGGTAATAGAGCAGGGAAGTCAGGAGGGTTTGTGGGCTTGGAGACTGGGGGAAAAGGTCAGATCAGGTGCCGTTGAGAGATAGTTAAACGGAATAAGCTGATTACAAAAGTAAGGTCAAACTGAGGTTAGATAGTAAAATGTTTTTGTGGAATCAGATGTTTCCTCTACTTCCTATTTCTTTTTTAAGCCCAGCAAGACTTGTTAGGTTCTGAAAAAGCAAACTAATGATATTTACCTAGAGTAGAGGATTCATAAAGGGGTAAGAAAATCAAGAATGTTATGCAGCACTAGTCAATAGAACTTTCCTCAATGATGGAGATATTCCATACCTGCACCCAGTATGGTGGCCACTAGCCACCGTGGGCACCTGAGTTCCTGTAGTGTGGCGGTGTGACTGAGGAACTGAATTTTGAATTTTACATAACTTTAAATTTTAGGTAAATGTTCAATACAAAACTGTAAATATAAACCCTGAATTTGTTGTCATATTCTCCCTAATGGGCTATGTAAAGGGAGCACCCATATAGGAAAGCATTTAGTGTGTTGTCAGTTAAAAGTTGTTGCATAGTAAAATGTTTATATTTGTTTTTAAATAGCTTTAGGTTGGTCTCAGCCTTGTGATGTTTGGAGCATAGGTTGCATTCTCATTGAATATTACCTTGGTTTCACAGTCTTTCAGGTATGTGTCTAGTAAATTTCAATTAATAATAATGAATTTTAAATGTTAAAGGCATGTTTAAGTTTTGGCTTCCTTATTGGAAATCCGCCATAGATCATTATTTTGAGATAATGATTATCTTTCTCTAAAGCCACAGTTGAATGAAATGCAACTAGTCGTGGTTCATGTTGCATGTGATTGGCATTTTTAACACCTGCTGCATGTGTGGTTTCTGTTGTCACATGTTTTCATTTCTTTAGTTGTAGATGCTTAATACTTAACATTGATGCCTTAGGCATATCTAAGCACCTGATGTATAAGGGTGAAAAGACAACATCTCTGTCCTCAAGTCATGCAAAAGACATGAGAAAGCTGTTGTAGTATAGTGTGATATTAGCTGTAATGGAACGATGTACAAAAGTGTAGGTAGGAGGAACCCAGGAAAGGTTAAAAATTACATTTCTTTAGAGAAAACATTACCGAGGAGGTTAGGGAGTTGAAGCTAATGCTGGAAGGAAGAGTAGGGCTGGGCACAGTGGCTCACACCGATAATCCTAGCACTTTGAGAGGCCAAGGCGGGAGGATCACTTGAGGTCAGGAGCTGGAGACCAGCCTGAGCATGAGTGAGACCCCATCTCTACAAAAAAATAGAAAAACATAGCTTGGTGTGGTAGCATGTGCCTGTAGCCCCAGCTAATCAGGGGGCTAAGGCAGGAGGATAGCTTGATGAGCCCAGGAGTTTGAAGTTGCTGTGAGCTACGACACCACTGCTCTACAGCCAGGGCAACAGAGCAAGATCCTGTCTCGAAGGGAAAAAAAAGAAAGAAGAAGGAAGACTAGAAGTTTATCAGAAAACTGTAGCATAATGGGCTTATAAGGAAGAAGAAATAGTATCTGTAAATGCACAGAGGAGTAAAGGAACGTATTGTAGTCAGGGAAGAATCATGTTGTCAGAGTATCTTGTGTACAAGGGAAAATGATGGCAATAGGCAAGGACTGACCAATAAAGGACTTCACATACTTTGAAAGGTATTAAAATGTTTCATTCTAGGCCGGGCGTGGTGGCTCACTCCTGTAATCCTAGCACTCTGGGAGGCTGAGGCGGGAGGTTCGCTCAAGGTCAGGAGTTCAAAACCAGCCTGAGCAAGAGCAAGACCCTGTCTCTATTATAAATAGAAAGAAATTAATTGGCCAACTAAAAATATATAGAAAAAATAAGCTGGGCATGGTGGCACATGCCTGTAGTCCCAGCTACTCAGGAGGCTGAGGCAGGAGGATCACTTGAGCCCAGGAGTTTGAGGTTGCTGTGAGCTAGGCTGATACCATGGCACTCTAGCTTGGGCAACAGAGTGAGACCCTGTCTCAAAAAAAAAAAAAAGTTCTAGAAGTCAGTAGTTTCCAAAAGTAAACGAAGATGATTTTGTAGGGTTACCATTCTTACCTTTATCATAGATTATCCCTCCCTTTTTTGTATTAAAATATTATTTTTATGAAATGATAGTAATAGTTGTTAGTAGATAGCTTTTTTAAACTCCTGGCCAGTGGGTTTGGGAGGAAGAGGTTGTGGAAATCCCAGCTCGGTGGTGTTGAGGTCGATTTGAAGTTACAGCAGGGCAGGGGGGTGAGCTGTTTATGATAAGTGGAGTCAGTTAGGGGGCTGTTGCACAATTTATGAGTTTGCTTCTTGTAGGGCACCTCACAAGACCTGAGTTTCTGTCTCATCTGTGGAGATCCTACGAAAAAGTACTGAGTTTATAGACACGCTAAGTGCTTTAGAACCATGGTTATCAATTAGTTCTAGGAAGGGATAGTGTCTGGTTTGTATTAGCGAGTTGTAGGATAAGAAAAAGTTAATCAGAGTGCATGCTTTCTTCCTTCTGACTTATATAAAACGGATGCTTCAAATGATTTTTGTGATTGTAAATCACTTTGAGGTCTTAAATGAAGTGCAGACTATTTAAGAGGTGAGGCAGTTTATATTTTAATTCCACACTGCAAAATATTCTGAAACTACAGAACTTTTTTAAAAAATGTGGAGCTAGTATTATTTATTCCTGTCATGAATTAATAACAGTGTTTTGAAAGCAATATGCAGGGCACAAAAGTTGATGTTAATAGATTTTACAAAGCAGTTACACACAGCTTCTGCTCTGCAGAACTAGGGTTAGCAAACTTTGGCCCATGGTGAAATCCTGTCTAATGCCTGTTTTTACAAAAAGAAGAATATGTAACAGAAACCATTTGTAACCAGCCAAGCCTAAAATGTGTGCTATCTGGCCCTTTTCTGTAAAAGTTTGCCAGTCTCTGCTCTAGAAGCATACCATTTCAGCTATTAAGTTTGAAGCCAAGGTTCTATTACTATATAGTTTAAGGATTATGAGCTCTAACTTGAGTTTATAGCTCAACTTTCCTTGTTTATGAACTATATGACTTTGAGCTAATATTTTAACCTCTCTGACACTCATGTTCTCACATACCTGGCTCGGGATTGTTGTGAGAATTAGTGGGACTGTGTACTTCTATTGCTTGGAATTAGTAAGCGTTAATAAATGGACTGATTGTTGGGAGGTTAATTTTGGTTAAGCAGCTGATTAAATGAGGAGGAGACAGTTTTTCTAGTGATCTTCCCCAGTCCTCTTCAGTGAAAACAGTGTAAGAAATGCAAATAAACAAGGAAACTGCTTGGTTTCTATTTTACCAATTCATCTTAGAGACTGTATTGCACCAAACAACACAGCTCGTTTGGTATTGTTCCATCTTTGAAGTATGCTGTAATGTGAATTGTGTAGCTGTCTGGTCCTTTTATAGTGGCACCATTTTCTTGTGTTCTCTTTGAATGTGCTTATAGGAAAATGGAGTGTGCTAAATTTCTTTTTCCTGTGTGTTTTAGACTCATGATAGTAAAGAGCACCTGGCAATGATGGAACGAATATTAGGACCCCTACCACCACACATGATCCAGAAAACAAGGTGTGTCTTAATATGTTTTAAGCCCTTTATTGGGTACATACAATAGCCGATATTCAAACTACAGAAAACCCAACGTTGTTACAATGCATGTTCCAAGGACTGCAGATTTTGAACTTTTTTATGTATTAGAGATAACTTATACTTCATCTCCTTTTTTAAAAGTCATAGTTTAAAAAATTCAGTATTTAACTTGTGATCTAGTAAATAAAATGTTTTTTTAATACTGTAGTTTACCTTTATATGAACGCTTTCTTAAGTCGATGTATAAATAACAGAATATTAAAAAGCCTGTTTTTTAGAGTCACATCAATCTAAGCTTGAAATGTGTGCTGTCACTAACCAGCATGTATGTCCTTGGACAAGGTATTATTTCCAGACTTCCAAACGCAGCTTCACTGAAGTCACCAGGGAGTTATTTAAGGAGTTCCAGACCTATTCCAGATCTAGTGAAATCAGAACTTACAGGAATGCATGCAGGAGGTGTCTGTTTTTAAAGCTAGCATTGTTCTGTGTATGGTATTTGGACACAACTTAGTTGGGATATTAAAACCTCACAGGATGGAAAATAAAGGATGATGTTATATAAGGTGTCTGCTATATAGTTGCTGCTGAGATTTTTAAAAATTACATGCATGCGCGTATGTCTGTACATCTAGAGAGAGCTGCTTACGCTTCTGTCTCTCATCCCATGGTTGTGGCAGGGTAAAGATGTGGATCTTTTGCTATTTTACTAAGCCAGACTTCTTTTTCCTGTAGAAAACGCAAGTATTTTCACCATAACCAGCTAGATTGGGACGAACATAGTTCTGCTGGTAGATATGTTAGGAGACGCTGCAAACCATTAAAGGTAAAGGAAAAAAGATTAAAGTTTAAAAACAGTATTTTCACTGTTACTAATACATTTTTTTAAACAAAAACATTTTTCTTCCTAGGAATTTATGCTTTGTCATGATGAAGAACATGAAAAACTGTTTGACCTGGTTCGAAGAATGTTAGAATATGATCCAACTAAAAGAATTACTCTGGATGAAGCATTGCAGCATCCTTTTTTTGACTTATTAAAAAGGAAATGAAATGGAAATCAGTGGTCTTACTATATACTTCTCTAGAAGAAATTACTTAAGACTGTGTCAGTCAACTAAACATTCTAATATTTTTGTAAACATTAAATTATTTTGTACAGTTAAGTGTAAATACTGTATGTTTTGTATCAATAGTATCATTATCTTGTTAAGTAAGTATGGTCTTGATAATGAATGAAATATAAAAGTTAAAATTAATTTTTCTTGAGATTAATTACGGTTTTTAATGACCTTTGGAATATCCTTTGTGTCCAGTGATAAATGTGATTGATCTTGTCTTTTGTACATGGAGATCAACTCTGAAGTGATTTTTTTTGAGTAAAAGGAATATTGACTACTTTATAATCTTAAATGAATATTCTTTATATACCTCAAATTTAGAACTTTTCTTAATTTTAAAAGTTTTTTCTGTAATTGTTGAACGGGTAATAATTATTATCAACTCTAGATAGGCAGGTATTGGAAACCAAAACCCATAGAAAATTCACTGTTAGAATTTTATTATAAGTACTGTGTTCTGTTTCATTTGGTGACGTCTGTGGGGATAAGTAGACATTCATGGAAAGGCATCCAGTTTGTCCATTATGACAGGTGGTTTAGTAAAACCACATGCACACTTCATTTAAGATTAAAGTCTGACTGAAAACTCAGTTTTTCCAAGGGCTGTTTTGTGATATAAAAATAGGAATTCTGCTGACTGAGGTTTTAGTTTTTAATACTAGGTTCTGAGAAGTCTTAAAATTGTCCAGTGTCTATTTCCTTATCAAATGAAGTAAATACTTAGACCTATGAGGATTAAGGCTATTATTAAGCAATTTATATTTGGGTTAATCCTTACTGGAGAAAAGGGATTTGATTGGAAAACACTTTGGGAAGAAAGCTATGTAGAAATTTCCAGAACATGGTTGGTTAACATAAACTTTTTGACTATAGTTTTTTTTGGTTTTTTTTGTTTTTTTTGTTTTTTTACTGTACCAGTTTTCACACAAAAACTGCATGGTAGTAAATACTACTTAATTTAGTAAAAGGAGAAATAGTCTATTGATGTGGTTAGTCTGCCAGGTAGAAATATTTTTTGTTGTAGAATTCATAGTTGCTTATTCAGATAGAGGTTATTTTTTGTTTAAAGTATCCCCATTTCAAAAGTGCATTACGCAAAGATTTGAGTTTTATCTGTTTGTGTATTTTAAACACATAAAATGCATGGAATTCTCTTGTATGACAAATAGTGAAACCAGGCTGGATTCGCTACGTTAATCTAGGGGCAGCATTTGTCAGTATCGCACGGCTATGTTCCTTAAGTTGACTAAGTAGCTTTAAGAAAGCTGAAACAAATTTTACCGTAAAATCACTGCATAAATTATGTTTAGGCTTCTATGATGTATTCTAAATATTGTGAATGTACTTTCAGAATAGTTGAACTATGTTATATGTGACAATGTGTTTTTTGTGTGTTTGTTTTTGAGACAGTCTCGCTCTGTCACCCTGCCTAGAGTGCAGTGATGTCATCATAGCTCACAGCATCCTCAAACTCTTGGGCTCAAGCTCTCCTCCTGCCTCAGCCTGCCAAGTAGCTGGGACTATAGGAGGTCACTACCATGCCCAGCTAATTTTTCTATTTGTGTATAGAGATGTGTTCTCACTATGTTGCCCAGGCTGGTCTCAAATTCCAGCCTCAAGCGATCCTCCCACTTTGGCCTCCCAAAGTGCTGGGATTACTGGCATGAGCCACTGTGCCCATCCCGATAATGTTTTTTTAAAGGAGCATTTGATTTTTTTTTAATGTTTTTTCCTCAGCCTAGCTGTGTTGCTGTGCAGATTCAGAAGTTTGCCACCTATTTTCCCCTGCATTTTCATTTTTCTAGTGCCACTGTGCTACCTAAGCCTCCTGTCCTTTCCCCAGCAAGTGCTTCTGGTTCCCAAATTAAAGTTTACTGTCTGCCAGAAACTCATGTAGGAGGAAAGAAAGTTATCCACACTATTTCTTACTAAGAAGTTAATGATTGCTAATCCCCTTTCTCTTCTGAAAATTATTTATTTACATTCTTCACAGAGGCTATTTGCTAATTCCTAGGCCTAGTTCATGGAGTTTTAGGAATTAAAGTGAAACTTTAAAAAATTAGAAGAAATGCTTAGTGGTTAGGGTGCTACCTCTGGGATTCCTATATGAGGGTCTTTTGCCCACCTTCCCCTTTGTTTGAGCTCTCAAATTCCTACCCTTAATTGCCTTTTTCCATGTACTTCTGAACTCTTTAAAACCTCCAGGGTTTCTTTTTTTTTTTACAAAGGTTCCTAAAGCTTCAGCACTAAAAGGGAAAAAGGTGTAGAATGGCCAGTGGGTGTATAAATATGAATTATTTGTAATTTAGGTGTTTTTCTTAATAATTTGATACCTCATAGTTTACTATTTCTCAAAAATTCATTGAAATCAAGCTTTTGTGTGTGTGTGTTGAGACAGGGTCTCGCTCTGTCTCCCTGGGTTGAGTGCAGTGGTGTCACTGCAGCCTCAAGCACCTGGGCTCAAGCGATCCTCCTGCCTCAGCCTCTGAGTCCAAGTAGCTGCAACTACAGGCTTGTGTCACCAACAATCCAGCCTTTGGGGATATAGTTGAAAGGAAATTTTTGGTAAACATGCATGTATTTATTGTAGTTTAAGTCATTTGGAAAAGCTGGCCAGTTCTATAATAGGGATTTTTAAAAATACAATGCGAAAGTAGAATAGAATAATGAATTTCTATATACATAGCTTCAAAAGTTAAAAACATTTTGTAAATTTTATTCCTGTTCCTCAACTTACTTGTATTTAAATACAAATGCCAGATGCCATATTATTCATAATATTTCTCTTTTTAACAGATGAGAGGGTTTTAAATCAGAATTCCACTATCATATCTTAACAAAATAATTCCTTATCTGATATTCTGTCCATAACTAACATTTCATGAATGTCTGAAAGAAAACATTATAGTTGATTTGTTTGAATCAGGACACAGGATAAATGAGGACTAGAGGAATGAACATTATGAGGATGAAATACTGAGTATAAGAAATTCTCGAAGAGAAATGACTCAGTTTCATTAGCCAAAAATAGGATGGAAGTGGGAATGTATATGTTATGAACCTGGGACATGCTGACAATATTTGGACCCTGACTGGATCCCCATTCAAAGAAACCAAGCCATACAATGACCATTTTAAAACAATTCCTTTTAAGAAATACAGAAGGGCTATTAGAAATACACTATGTTGCAACTCTTAATGAAGTAATGGAACCAGTCACCAATGGATGCTAATTCATTGGGTGAAAAATTGATGGGAACTATCATGGAGGGATCAGGCTGACAGTGCTCAAACTCAGTAATCAATCAGAGCCGACGGTTGACAACCAGATGTGTGCAGTACCTGTGAGGTATTTCCTAAAACCTAAAGATGTTGAACCTGGATATAATCAAGCTTCAAGGTTGAAATTTTAATATAAAAAAGCTTTTAGCTCTTTCTGCTCTTCATTTCTTACCTTTCAGCTAATTCCTTGAGGTTAGTAGTTCAGTGTATTGAAGAAACTCAGACTTTTTACCACCACGATTTACACTGTGGCCCCAGGTCTTCCCTGACACTCAACCAGGCAGAGAAATTTTACTTTGTTAGGTGGAGTTACTTAGAAGTAATATCTGTGTTATAGGATGATTAAAAACATCTAGCTGGCCGGGTGTGGTGGCTCCCGCCTGTAATCCTAGCACTCTGGGAGGCCGAGGTGGGTGGATCGCTAAAGGTCAGGAGTTTGAAAAGCACATCAGCAGATTACCTGGAATTTGGTAGTTCCACTATAAGTAGCAATGACTTTGTTTTCTATAAATGCTTTAACCCAGATGACTTTTCGTTTTATTTAATAATTGTTCCTCTTTATGGTAGCAGAAATTATTAAGCTATCAATTCAATTTGTGATCCACTAACATTGAAGTTTTTATTTTTTATTTATTTTTGAGACAGAGTCTCGCTTTGTTGCCCAGGCTAGAGTGAGTGCCGTGGCGTCAGCCTCGCTCACAGCAACCTCAAAACTCCTGGGTTTAAGCAATCCTGTCTGAGCCTCCCGAGTAGCTGGGACTACAGGCATGTGCCACCATGCTCAGCTAATTTTTTCTATATAAGTTGGCCAATTTTATTTTTAGTAGAGATGGGGGGTCTCGCTCTTGCTCAGGCTGGTTTCAAACTCCCGACCTCGAGCAATCCACCTGCCTCGGCCTCCCAGAGTGCTAGGATTACAGGCATGAGCCACCACGCCTGGCCCCGCTATTCTTGATTTATACAGTATTCTACAGTCTATAAATTATTTTCCTGTTATGTTACTTTTAGCCCTATAGGATTCATACACATGAGTCCAAATACAGATTATCCCCATTTTAATGTTTCCACAGTGTATCTTTTTTCATCGCTGTGCTTTTAATTTTTTGTGTCTTTAAATTGTTTCTTATAGGCAGCATATAGTTGGGTTTTGCTTTTTCATCCCATCTGACAGTCTTTTTTTCTTTTTCTTTTTTTTTTTTTTTTTTTGAGGCAGTCTCTCACTCTTGTTGCCCGGTCTAAAGTGCTGTGGCATCAGCCTAGCTCACAGCAACCTCCAACTCCTGGGCTCAAGCAATCCTCCTGCCTCAGCTTCCCGAGTAGCTGGGACTACAGGCATGCGCGCCACCATGCCCGGCTAATTTTTTTATATATATTTTTAGTTGGCCAATTAATTTCTATTTTTAGTGGAGATGGGGTCTCACTGTTGCTCAGGCTGGTCTCGAACTCCTGAGCTCAAACCTCCCGCCTCGGCCTCCCAGAGTGCTAGGATTACAGGCGTGAGCCACCGCGCCGGGCCCCATCTGACAGTCTTTACCTTTTAGTTATATGTGTTTAGACGATTTATATGTCATGTAATTATTGAGGTGGTTTGGTTTAGATCTACCATCTTGCTATTTCTATTTGTTCCATTTGTTCTTTATTCCTGTTTTCCTCTTTTTCTGCCTTATTTTGGACTATTTTTCCACAATTCTACTTTATCTCCTTTGGTGGTTTATTAGGTATAACTTTTGTGTGTGTTTAGCAAGTGCTTTAGAGTTTGTAGAATGAGTTTTTATCATAGTATACAGTACCTTTAAGTGACACCACTTCACATAAAGTATGAGAATTTTTTTTTTTTTTTTTTTAAGACAGTCTCACTCTGTTGCCCAGGCTAGAGTGAGTGCCGTGGCGTCAGCCTAGCTCACAGCAACCTCAATCTCCTGGGCTCAAGCAATCCTCCTGCCTCGGCCTCCCGAATAGCTGAGACTGCAGTCATGGACCACCATGCCCGGCTAATTTTTTTTCTATTTTTAGTTGCCCAGCTAATTTTTTTTACCCACATAGTTACCATTTCCTGTGCTTTTCAATCCTTGTATAAATCCATATTTCCATCTGGTTTGGTTTTCCTTCTGCCTAAATTACTTCCATTAACATTTCTTTTTGTGGGTCTGATGGTGATGAATTCTTTCAGCTTTTGTATGTCTATCCATAGCCTTTGTTTTTGTTGTTGTTTTTTGAGACAGAGTCTCACTCTGTTGTCCGGGCTAGAGTGCCATGGCATCAGCCTAGCTAACAGCAACCTCAAACTCCTGGGCTCAAGCAATCCTCC